GCTTTTCTTCACACTTATTTGTGTTCCCAACATGCTTTGCCGAGCTTTTGCCTCAGCCTGGAGGGGTCGACAGTCCCGCTTGCACGCCCTCATTCTATGACCCGGGCGCCGAAGCACGTCGTGACACCTGGGCGGCCATGGAGTTTGCGCTGCGCAGCGGCCGCGCGCGGGCCATTGGAGTCTCCAATTACGAGGCGTGCGGGCCATTGGACGGGGACGAAGCAGCGCAGCAGCGTGCGGAATGGCATGGAGGTCTTTCAGTTGGGAACGGGGAACGGGGATGGCCTTCACTGGAGCCATGCCTCCCAGGCAATGACCCCCTGGAAGGTTTGGAAAATGACCAGTCTACCCATTGGTTGAGAGGGTCCCCTATCAAAGTGTCCCACGCATATAGTATTATATATAGTAAATAGATGTATAAATAGTGAAAATGATAATAATGGAAATGGTCAATGAGGAATTGAATGTTCTTTCTATTCCATATCGTGGAGGTGACTACACTCCCCATAAACATACAGGGCAGACTCAGTTGGTACAGAACGCTTTACTTTTCAAGGACCCATGGTTCCACTTCCGTGCTTGTTTTTGGAGGGCCTTCTTTGCAAGAAATCTGATGCATTTTCGTCGCATGGAAGATAACACTGAGGTGAAGCATCTCGTGGAAATCATGGATCTCGAAGAGAAGCCAGCCGTGAACCAGGCCCATCTCGTCACTGAGTGTCCGTGAACATGGGCTGGGAGGCTCGGCCTCCACCCTGTCCACCAGGAAGGTGATGGGCACGGCCCACGAACCAAGCCTGAAGGATCTGAAGGCCTATATATATAGGTTCCTGGTCCAGATGTGGAAACCCTGGCGCAAGCGGCGGAAGCAATTTGGGTGTCCAACCCGCTAGGTTGAGTGGCATCCATACCACCATGATGATGAGCTGAAGCTTGGCGACTTCCAGGATGTGCTGAAGAGGGGCCCAAGGCCCGAGCAGAGACAACGGCCACCCTTCCAAACTGACCGATCTTTGGTCAGTTTCTCTGATGATATAATTGCTGAACTTACTAGTTTGGATCCTGAAAACTGAAGTCTTGAAAGAGAAAACACATCTCCTCCCAAACCTGGGCCATCCTGAGTAAGTCCTCCAAAGACCAACGCATGGATCTGCTTCAAAACGTCCAGAAACATCCGTGGGATGTAGAAACAGATGAGCTCCCAGTAGGCATTCCAGCTCGAGATGCACCCTGTTTCGGATTTGCCCCAGAATGCGGACCATCCCGGGCCCTACACTCACCAAAAGGAAATGGACCCCGTAAAGTTGGTTGATGAATTATGCAATACATGTACAATCATGTACATATAAATCATGTTGGATTGTTGTCTCTTGCCCTTTGCACCTTGTTCCGTCAGGGGGTTCTAAAAGATGGTTTCACGACGAACTTGCCCCAAACTGGGTGCAATGGGAACTCAAAAGATTGAATTACTAAACTGATGTTGGGCTGTTGGGCTTCGAGTTCTCCAATGCGCCAAGAAGAGCTGCGCAGCTCTTCAGCTCGCAGCATGAGGCTACACAGGGAAAACGACCCCAACCCTGGCCGACATGGAAAACGGGTGCCATGGCCATCGATGGGCCTTGGAGTGATCAATCCTCTCCAAGTATGCTATAAGTGCCTGCATTGGGCGGTTTGAGAGCTCAATGTAGGCATACCTGCAACCTCAAATGATCAAACATATTTGTGCATTCTCAGAAATTCCTGTGCACTACAGGTCTGCAGCAAAAGACGCGAAAGTCATTTGGAATGCATGATTTCTGATTGTAGCCATTTTTGCTGTATTGGGTGGCACCTTCCCACTTGGGATGCAGCCATGTCATACGACAAGAAACGGGAACATGCCGCCATGTCAGAAGTAGTGAGATACCTTCATGGGTCGAGGGGTGTGTCAATCCCGGAGGAACGGCGCCTGCTGCTCCCTCAAGAGATTTAGAGCTTGCTGTCAAACCAGCAGGACTTGATTTTGTTGAAGGAAAGCCCCGGGTGATTTGCTCTACAGTCAAAAACAAGTCTTTACATGTCTTTACCCGTCAAATTCAAGTCCAATACACATTTGTACCCGTCCTATGCATGTTCTTCCCATCTAATACACATCTTTCGCTGTCCACTAGCCTACAGTTACGAAGCTTCTGACTTCGTGGGGCCTGGGTCTGCAATGAACTGGCTAAGCTGGAATGGCTCCGTCCACCTGCGCTGCACCCTCGGCGCCTGAACGGTTACTTCCTCTTGGTGCCCAACCCCCAAACCAAAAGGGATACTACCTTGCGACATTGGAGTGGCCCTTTCTGCCACTGAGAGGTATACTCCTGAGTGTAGAAGTTGAAGATTTTGCATGTTCCTGTGTTCATGGCAAGCACAGCATCGTTAAGCAACCCTGCGGAAAACAAGGCTGGGAGCCTTAAACAAATTGTATAGGGACAGGCGTGCTTTGAATGCCAGCCTAGCTGCAGCAAAAGAAGCAATATGAAGCCATGATGAGTCAGCTTGAGAAGACGTAGCGCAGATTTCGTTCAAGTGTTGGTCAAGTGCAGGCAGTGCAGTGCAGGCAGTGCAGCATGGTCGACTCAAAACATACTGTAACTAGTTTTCGTGGCAAGCACTGCAAGTGGATTTGAGGAAATAGTGCAGATTTCGCATCCCCCCAGAGCGAAGCAAACAGAACAGATAATGAAAGCAACAAAAGCAACAAAAACAGAAAAACCAAGGACACAAAAGCAAAGGCCCGCACCAAAAGCGAAAGAAACAACAAACACAAATAAACAACAAATAACAAATGCAAGAAAAAACAGAAACACAAAAAGGCAGCAAGGGCAGAACAACTAACGTTTTTGCTCAATGAAGACCCAGGTATATTCTGCAAATGTCTCGATCTTGTTTTTGTCACCAAGTTGGCCCGCCGCCCTAGGTCAGTCATCCATTTCATGATTGAAGTCACTGGAGAATAGCCAGAATAACTCAGGAAACAAACGTGAATTTTGAGCAATCCTGAAGCAAGCGTCCGTGACTCCTCAGACAGAGGAGGCACGGAGGCTGTGGAACTCAGGCAGCCTGGGCCAACAGGCTCCACGCATGGCATATTTACCGACATCAGGGTGGTTTGGGGGCGAATGTAAGGCACATATTCAGTGCCATGGAGTGCTTGGGATTGAAGAGGTTTCCAGCCAAGAGCCCAAGAAGCAGATCGACGAACTCCCGGCTATTCCAGGTTTGGTCCCTCCGAGTGGTTGTTTATTTTGTTGGTTCAGCCGGTCGGATTTTTGATGTTGATGTGTCGACTTTTGGGAGAGGCATGACTCATTTTTGGATGTTCAACCCCTGCGTATCTAATAAGTTATTGTACGATATGTATGTATAATCTTGTGTATATATTTGTGTTTAGAGAGAGAGGTAGATAGAATCACCTTTTGAACCAAGGGCACGTTGGTTTATCCGTTTGCGAGGAGATTGACGACATATATTGCATGCAATTCCAATTTACCATATGAGCTCATACATTTTGAAAGCGTTGTCATGCCTCAGATTTGCACCGGAAAGCATGTGCCCTATAGACACGCTAGCGGGGCGGCTGCAAGAGGAGGAGCATGTCTGGCATGTCTGGGGTTTAGCAGCTATGAAGCAAGAACGACTCACAACCATCCCTAAGACGCCCTCTTAGAAGCTGTCCAAAGCCCCCGTGTGTTCATGCTTGTGGTTCAGCCCTGTAGTGGCAACTGGCCTGCAACGACTCCAAGGAAGGCCTTTTGCCATCAGAACGCCATCGCCCTCGAAGCCTGGTCACCCTTGTCAGGGCGCAACGCCTCAGCCGCCCGGAGTGCAGAGGGAGGACGGCCAAGATGAGTGCTGCTTTGTGGGTGGTCCTACGCAATAAAGAACACGTGCCGCCACCAGCAGCAGCAGCAGCAAATTACTACTCACCAAGGTGGAGGGTGACAGGATCCATTCTTACATGAATTGATTCTTCTAAGGGTAGGTGGGGCAGGGCACCTTGAAACCCAGACTTTTCACCAGATATGCTTTCACGAGAGCGATGACACCACCCACCTGTCGCAGTAGGAGCAACCGAAGCAGAGACGACAACAGCAACAAAGTGGCTTTCGCTAGGGTCCATGGCCCTCCCGCGGCCATGTTCCCTTGCTGGAAGGTCTCAGGGCCCCCATAGGTCTGCTCATAGAGAACCCCCTTCAGCTGCCGCCAGAGGTTGGAACCTGCACATGGCTATCCAGCCATGAAACTTTCTTTTGGATGTGTTTGGGGCCGAGTTTGGCTACTACTACGATTGTTTTTGCTATATGTGCTGGACTATAACTGTTACGCTAGTACTACTACCGCCTCTATTTTCACTACTACTTCTACTCTTACGGGTCTACCTAGCAGGTCTGGTGCCGAAGACGATGAAGAAATGAAAAGAGGAAAACACGCAGAAGCTGGAGCGGAAAGAGCAACACAATGACAACAACGGAAACAAATAGATACTGACATATACTGACCCCAAACTCAAACAATCTATAAAACCACGTAGGGGATACCAGGCTACTTATTTCTAATGTTGATTTGTTATTTGCGACATGTGTGAGATAGGCTGGTGCGGGGTTGGTTTCAAGTCGGGAGTGGGGCCCAAACTGTGATGGTTGATGTTGACCCTCCATCTTGGTAGGGGCTTTACCATCTTGGCAAGGAAAAGACCGAAATGAAACATTTTCCATTGCAACTGCAACTGGTTGGAAGTTCATCGTCCATTCAGTCACCACTTGATACCACCTGGCAAGTTTCCAATTAAACTGCACAGAAGCAGTCAGGGGAATTTTCCGTATCACCTCCTCCAGCCACATTTGCTTCTTCCTTTTGGCCACCAGGCATTGTTGGACCCCGTTGTGAAGGAGCAGGGCCAGCCGTTGAGTGCGGAACATGCCATACTGTCCAATCTTGTCAATTCGTGTCCGGGTGCACTTTTGGTGGTAGTTGACCACATCTTCATCAAAAACAGTGCCCAGCTGCTCCAAATGGGGGAGCTGTGGAAGATTCCCTATTTGGGGATTGTCTATGGTTTTGTTCAGCCAGATGGATGGGTGGACGCCGCAACACTCAGAGCGGCCGCAGAGCCTCAGGCATCAACACGATCTTTTGGGAGTTTGAAAAGGGCTCCTTTGCAAGCATATAACTCTATTTGTCATGCGTACACTTGTGCGAGATGAGTAGACTTGTATATCATGACTCTAGTTGTTGGGGTTGAGCCGAATCATGATAACTTGGGGATGCGCGTCCAAGGAAGCCAGTGGATCAGTAATGACCGAACCACTGCAGGAGGTGGCTCAAAAGCACAATGTCTCTACTGCGCAAGTTGTCCTTCGCTGGTCGCTCCAGCAGAATGTCAGTGTTGTGGTCGGCACGGCAGCTCGCAGAAAAGAGGGGGAAGGTGGCGCACCAAAGAATACCAATGGCTGTTTTTTTTTTCAGGCAATGTGAGCATATATGGCGCACACACGCATAAGCTGAAGTTAGTTTCTGCGAACGAAGAGGGTTTTCGTTAGGGGTGTGGGGAGGCAGATGGCGACGAGTGCGAGTACACTTGGAAACCTTATATCATGGTTCTAAGTTATAAGTCATAACTCATGTTGGATGCTTGCATCAATAAGGTGCTTGTGGAAGATGGCAATCAGAGCCCTATTGCTCGTTGCCGCTCGTTGTGCTGCTGATGCTGCTTTGCCGCTGCTGCTGGTTTCTGCTGCTTGACTGCTGCTGCTGGTGCTGTTTCTGCTGCGGTTTGCTGCTTGTCTGCGGTCTGGTGCTGGTGCGCTACAATGCTCAAGGAAGGTATGGTGGACATGCCACCGCATCTCTTTGTCGCTGCCACATTGTAGCCCCCCCATCACTTGCTTAAACATGACTTCTGCGATCTGATAATTGCACCCAGACTCACTAGCAGTTCAGTGGAGAATCCGGCCTTGTTAGTGAGTCGAAGTCGATCGGCCTGGCCGGTCTCACTTCCTCATGGACTCTTGGGCCCGACCTGGCCCGACCGTTCTGAGGAGAAAGCGGAACACATGAAGACGGACCTGGAAGTCTTCTCCTTTCAATTGTCCGCTGCCGAGATGCAGAGCATTTCGAAGCTGAAAGTGTCCGAAGTGTTCGTCTAGCAGTCGCAGATGGTCGGTGACTGGTCTTTCGAAGTCAACCAGGAACCGGATGTTTTAGATAGATAGATAGATAGATTTCTGTTTGTGCCTGAATCTAGAACTTGCAACTTCTTGGGTGAACTTAGCACATGGTGGGGTAGTTGCTCACGCCTAGAGAAGACAATGCCGTGAGATGTAGCAAAGGCGAGTGAGATAGTGTTCATTTGTGTTCCCCACTTTGCATGGCACGAGCAAAAATACTTCTCAGTTCAGATGGCGAGCACCCGATGAGACGGTTTGCGAAGACGCATTGCCGCAGGAGGATCCTTTTCCAGGAATCGGTTTCAGTTGTTTGTCGAAGGGTGAGAGTTCTCAAAGAGGGTTTCAGGTGTTCGGAATCCCGTCACATGGAGGAAATTCGCCCCAGAGTTCTCTCTGTGGTGATTTGCTTCGCGGTGCGTCCTGCGCCCCCGTCTTCAGCCCGCGATGGACGCCAAAAGAGGGCACGGGACCCGGGACCTGGGTGATGTGTTGAGAGAATCGGAACTCCCAATGGTTTGGAGGACAGTGGCTTCGGGGAACCACCAACTCTCAAAAACTATAGATGTGTGAGTGGCAGGTTCATCAGGGGCGATCAGGAAGGCTTCCTGGCACTATTCACTACAGTGCTCTTCTATGGGTCCGGCCTGCAGGGAATTCCATCAAGAGTCCACCTCCTTGGCAGGGTCCTCATTTCAGGTTTGCAATGCTTTTTGGATGTTTGTGCTTCCCTTTGTCGAGGCATACTCTTTCCATCTCTTTCCAGCACATGAAGTGAGAGTGACCAGGTACAAAAACGATCTGTGCCTTCACCCCAGTCAGGCAATTCATGACTCATGACGCAACCAAGGCAAGTGTGAGATACGTAGTGAGGTTGGATAGGTTGGCACGCATGTCACATGCGGTTTGTGTGGCTACAAGATTGGCTCTTTGTGGCTGAAACCCGGCAACCGCCGGGTGAAACCTCTCTCCTGGGCCCTTGGGAGCTCAAGGCTTCTTTGGCCAAGCCTGGGGCTGTTTTTACCGAACCCTGGTGGGGTGCACCATCCGCCAGCCAAACCGTCGATGCGTGGGGTCCCGTGAATTTGGGCTGCAGTGGCTGTGAGACAGCGCAAGTGCAGAGAGTGCTGCGGGGTCGACCGGTGACTTCTTGATCAATTTGTCAATACGTGCTGCTTGTCATAGGGGTATAAGGCAGTCTTTTTGGTACCCAGACGGAATTTTGCAATCCTGCGTGCCGGTGAAACACCATGGCAACATTGAGTCTAAGCTGTGATGAGAAACGCACAGATGAAGTTTCTCGTGGAGTTACACGGCGAAGTTGCTGTGATATAATGCAATATTAAATTTACAGTATGTCATATGTGTATATACTTGTAATATACGCATGTATATATATATATATATACGCCTATATAATATATATATATATAAAACTATTGTGACATGTTGTCATAAGGGATGCTATGCCTTGGATCAACCAAGCAGGCCTTTTTTAGAAGAAAACACACCATCGATTCCCGAGAGATAGAAGAAACTCGCCATCGATTCGGACTGCTCCTTTGGTTTCGGACTGCTCCTTTGACATGTTCCATTTCTATGGTGAATATTTCAATTTCTTTGTGTTTTTTTATGATGAATCTCTGAATAGTTCTATTCACAGGTCTCTTCTGGTGCACCGGGTGGCGGAATGGGCGATCGTGATGGCCGCAGCCCAGGAATCACGTGGTCTTTGTGTGGTCAAAGGGCACCTTGGTACCTGTGCCCGTCCAGGAGTCGCTCCAACCGTGGGCGAGGCCGGGAGAGGAGGTGAATTGGGTGCCGTCCAGTGAGAGAGAGAACCTACTGCGATGGCCTCCAACCTAATAGCGATGGCCTCCAACCTACAACTCATGTTCTTCACACGCCGACGTGCCCATTTGGACTCACATTCTCAGCCTTTGGGTCGGCTTTGGAGGGTGTGCTTGCATCCAATCCCACGCAAGCACACCAAGACTAAGACGGGTAGTCAATTGCTGAACAGATGGTCCTCCCAAAAAACAGAACAGGTTGCGCAGTGCAGAAGAGTCCGGGTGAAATGTTCAGGCCAGTCCGGCCAGCACTCAACTTCAAGTGCTTGAATGGCATGAAGCCGTTGGTGTTGTGCCCTGGCGAAAAACAGCTGAACAATTGAAGCGACCGATGTGGATGTGGCTCAACGTGTGATGCATAGCGTAAACAAAGCAACACCCGTGTCACACACGATCACAAACAATTTGAGACTTCGTCGCCGCTAGAGGCAGCGAACAGACGTCAAAGGGCACGCTTTAAATCCCAGATGCTCTATGCAAAATATGAATACATTCGCATCATTCGCCCCCCAAACCACCCCAATGCAGGTCAATCTGCTACACATGGAGTGTTTGGAACATTTTTGTTTAAACACTGCTCCCAACGGCAGTGTGTCCCACATCATAAGCCTCCTTTTTGATCAGTGTTCTCAATTGCCATGGCCACTCAGACGCGTATCCGAAACCTTTGGAGGGATCAGACCCGAATTCTTTGGAGGGGCCAGGGGGTATGAGGGCTTTTGCGTCTCAAATCCACCAGTTTGAGGGAACAGCGTGGCTGGGCGTGGGCAGTTGCAACTTCTCATCGTCAGAGACGTGATTGACAGATCAAACAACACCTTTGACAACACCCTTAGGCACCCGAAAGTGAACACTTGTTACCTGTTCTTGTTTTGGCTATCGGTTGTTCTCCTGCCCGGATGAGCCTGATACTCCTTGGATGAAGATTTTTCTTGAACATTGAGCGAACAGCTTGGACATCAGCTTTGGGTTGTGAATGTCTGAAGCCTCTCCACTTCCTCAAAAAAGCACAATCGGCCGACGCCGACCTAACTTGATAGCTTAAGAAGCAGAAGTTGGCCCAACCCCTGCAGGCACTGCGGCAGGACAGCTTGACATCCAAATACATTTGCACTGAGGGCGGAAGCAGTGCAGTCAGTTTCATAAAGATCCAACTGCGTATTAAAAATAAAAGCATGCATCCGTAATGGACGAAGCTAAGTTCTTCTCCCAAGTTGAATCGCTTGCACATCTTGTCAAAGGATCACACCCCCGCTGTGCGAATCAGGTCGGACGACTCAGAGTGCGATTTGCCGCACACCGCGCGCTACACTGGAGCGGTCGAGTGCAGGGAGGACGGGCCCGGCATGTGCAGGGAGGAGGGGTTGCTGAATTCAGCGGTTTCAGAGTACACTCCCGAAAACTAACATGGTCCCTGAGAATGGGACCTGGACATACCAGTAGTGTTTCCTCTACAGACCAGTGGTTTTCAGTGTCCATGTGCGTTTCTTTCAGGGCATAGATGGCAGGTTTTCCCTTGTTCGATGTTCTGATGTTTAATGGGGGGTCCACTGAACTTGGACATTTGTGCCATTTAATGTAGACTCTTGATTGATAAATCCCGCACATGAAGAGGCAGTTCTACTCAAATGAGATGGTTGATTAATCAAGAGTCTACATACTTTTTGAAAGCACTGTAAGGTGAGTTGTCCAGTGGAATGTGAGGATCCCTTGGGTGTTGATTATAGAATTCCGTAATAGGTGGCCATGCCCAACTCATTTGTTGATTGGGTGTTTCGATGCAGAGGGACGGGGTGGTTCCCACTGCGCACTGCAGTGCTTTCCGCCGGCAGTATGGCCGTTTGAAGACTTGCATGCCAAGGGTATGAGCATGGCTGAGCATGACGGATATGATATGTACATGATTAATCAACTATTAAAAAAGCGTTCAAGGGTTGTATGTCAGTATGCTTGAGTGTGCTACCTTTGACGCAGTGTGGTTTTCCTATGTTTTCTGGACGATTGTTTGGACAGGAGGATTCATACAGATGTTTATGTCGCTAACATTCGCCAACCATTTAATTAATTATTGAACTTGTATCTTTAGGTGTTGGATCATGACATAGCATCCCCCTGGGCAACATCAACGATAACTATTTGGATCAACCGAATGTGTTTAAGACCAGGTGTGCAGCACAACAATGTGTTTGCACTGCACCTATTGCTGTCAAGTTGTGGTCTTCGCCTAGATCTGAAAACGAGAGTGGAATACCGAACGTCAGCCCGATTTTGGTGGAGTATGTATATCTAAATAACCAGAAACTCCATGTATGATACATATGCCTATACGTAGACCCCCCCCAATATATGATAAATTAAATCTGCCAGTCCCATGAGTGTTTGGGATAGATAGATCGATAGATTGGATGGATGGATGGATGGATAAATAGATGATCGTGCGTCATGGTCTGAGGGTTGTGGTCCGACTTTGTGACGAGAAGTGGCACCTGTAACTGCTCGGCGTGGTCAGGATCAGAAGGCTCATGGATCCAATGCCAGCTCAGCAGAGGTGACCACTTCAGGCAGGATCATGCTGGAACTCGGACACACGAGGTGTCATTTATATGTGTGGGGTGGGTGGGCAGATTCTCCACCTTCGAGTCTAGGCAGGCGGAATTCCAGACCTGTCACCGTCCGACTGCCGACTTGGGAGACGGTGCCGGCTTCGGCCCAGATGCGGCACGTAAGATCAAACACCTGGAGTCCCCATGCCAAAGTGCCCAGGGCCTAGAGAATGGGCAATGGCCCTAGTCAGATCCAATTCAGCACTTTTGTAGCAACATGTGCCAACTGGACGAGCAAGTGCCCCCAGGCTGTTGCTCGTCCAATCTAAGTACTTCCTCTTCACGGGATTATATATATATATATTGGTCCCTATCCCGTTTTTTCTCACTTCATTGTTTCTTTGAGAGATCTTGACTACAAGCACACCTATCTAGTCCTATTTGGACGTGTTGGCCCCACTTTTTGTACCTTGAGTTTAGGTTGCACCTCCGAGCTTCATTCTTCACTGTGGACGGGTCAAGTCGAAATGCCCCAGTCCTCGTGAACGCCGGAGAGTCTCGATCCTTCCGCATTTTTTCCAAAGGCGCTTCGTGGCGCACGTCTCCGCCAGGAGGGACGCGAGGGGCCGCCCCATCGCAGTTGGAGTCGGATTCGGACTTTGAGGGGTTGGGCTTTATCCCTGGGCTCGGAGATGAATCTGAGGCCGGGGCTTGGAGGTGTCGACGTCAGGCGACTTAAGAGGAACGCAAACGAGGGGGACTCGGGACACAGCGGTAGGTTCAAACGATTATCAAATGGCCTGCTGGTGCTGGTGCGACGACATTGGGCACGGAGAAAACGTAATGAGATGGCTGTTTCATGGTGTGTATGCCACCTGGATCTCTGGATATTTCTTGTGATGTGTGGATCCAAGAACAGCAGCTCCCCATGATATCGAATTATTTGGTGTCGTTGTCCATGTGCAGGAAGAGGTGACAGAGGTCTTTGCCTTCAACACCTGGGAGTCACATCAGACTCTCGGAGGGAGAAGATGCGTGGTAGATTAATCGATTTTGATAGATGAGATGAGGGACCTCCGAGTGATGGATCCTTGGTTTGCGTCCAGGTCGGCCCATGTCGGCGATGGATGGCAAGCAGAGATAGTGTAAACCACTTCGGTGTCAGCAGAAATCACCAGTCGGGCAGATCTGGATGTTCCTTCTCGGTGTCGGCAAGAGTCGACGGGCGCCGCTCTGGAGTCTGGAGTCCCAAGGGGTTGTTCTGAACAGTCGACTTGAAAGGCGCTCGCTCACATCTAAGGTATGGAACGTGCAAGCCATGTCGGTTCTTCCATGCGAAAGAAGAAGGTTGTCGCATTGGAGCCTCATGCATCTCACATTAGCAACATGGGGTTGGATGGATCGGTGCACATCAGCAAGGGACATTCGCAGACTAGAGAACATACTATGTTACTATGTTTTAATATGATTTAATATGGTTTTCTGATGTCAATTGAAAATTTGCACTGCCTGTTGGGACAGTTGGGTATGAGGCAGCGGCCTCATAAAAAACAGAAAAAAAACTGTCAGGAGTACGCTCGTAGCACCAGCTTGATGGATGATTCGGAGCTGACACATGCATCGTTCGTTCGGGGATCATGCTTTCGCATCAGGTCCACTGCTTTGCCAAACCGTCCGGAGCAAGGCTCAGCATCTGTCGCACAGGCATCGGTCTAGTAGTTTCCAGTATAGAAGCCACTGGCCGAGGGAACATGACCAAGATTGAACCATTCAACCAAGGACGCGGCCACACATGCTTGCAGCATTATTTTGGCGTGGTGCCGTTTTTGGAACGTTCTTTAGACCTTGGGTCATGATAGACCCGCCACATAATCAGGCCAAACACATCCAAACACCGACATGGAACGCCAGCAGCATATTTCTAATTGGACTGAGATTTGTTTGTCACATTTGTCCCACGAGATGGTCATGCCTTTGACCATTTTTGACCTGTCGCGACCTGTGTCGACCTCGCAGCCCGCACCGGCCGAGGTAAGTTCTGCCACTTTTGCACCAAGGACGAGGCTCGACGTGATCGGTTGAATCGGAAGTACTACGACCGGCGTATGAGACGCAGGCAAGGCCTAGCATGAGCTGCTCGGCTGATCGGTTGAATCGGTGACTTCGTTGGACCGACTTTCGATGGGGGGTGTTGCAAACACAATGCACGTGAGATGAGAAGAGATGAGGGTGAAGGTTGACCCCCCAAAAGACCGTGGTTGGGCCACGGCTTCCATTTTGGAGCGAACTTTGCCCTTGTATTGAGACCCTGTGCCAGTCGGGAAACTGCACCGCCTACATAATCCACGATCCAAAAGTTTGGAACGTTGACCTTCATTGGGGGGGTCGAGTCGTGGCCATACATAGAATTCATAGAATGTGAAGTGTCAAATCCCTTCCACTTATCAAACAACAAGCTCCCTCCGAAAATAAAACCTCCGGCGTTGTTTTCGTGAATAGGGGGTCCCCCAAATAGGGGGACCTTTTCCATTTACAATACCATATTATTCATAATCAGGTAGCCAAAGCCATTTTGCATGAATGCAGCCTTTCAAAGAGAGAGGCTTTGACAAAAAGCGTTAGACAGAAAGTCAGGAAGAAAACCAAACGGTGGTTCCAACGGAACATTGTTCACCTCAATAATGAATTTAAAACACTCTTTGCAACACTTAGATCCCATAAGGTTTCTGAACGGAAAGGAGATATGCCAAACTATAAGAAGTTCTCAAAAACCTTTAAACTCAGAGCTAATCAGCAGATCAGAGCTGCCACGTTGAATGTTAGAGGGCTGAGCCAGCCAACGAAAAACAATCTTTAACTAATCTCATGAAAACGCATGAATATGAGATTCTTCTAATAACGGAAACCAACATGAATATAAGCTACTGACGGCAGGGCAGTAAATGAGTTGTTAAAGCTCACGGAAGCTATCTCCTGCAAATACGGACTGCGGCTAAACAAAGACAAGTGTGTGGGTGTGTGGCGATACAAATGAACAATGAATGTTTGGTCCATGTTGAAAACCTCGAACCATTACCCAAGAAGTTTGAAGCGACTTATTTGGGCAACGAAATTAACAAGGACGCAAACAATCGACACGAAATCTTGAACAAAATGCAAGAAGTAAGACAGACCTGGTTCAAATCGCTGCCGTACTGGAAGGCAACAAATGCGAACGTGAAATGGCAACTGCTTATTTGTGATGCTGTTGTTCGATCAAGATTGTTATGCGGACTTGAAACTATACACCTCACTAACGCCATGCAGAAGAACATTTATGCCTTCCAACTACGGTGCTTCAGGAAAACCCTCAAGGTTCCGTCAACATTTATAGACAGAAGAAACACAAATAGAGAGGTTCTGAATAGATGTGCAGCGCTGGCATATCCAAATCGAGGCGACCGACGTGAGTTCGAATTATTCAGCCAATCGTATCTCCGTAGGAAATCTAAAATATATTTATTGGGTCATGTACTCAGGGCTAGCCACGACGATCCTTTGCGCCAAATTTCTTTCCAGCCCGATTGTGCACTCAGAGTTTCTTATGGGAAAAAAAACGAGTCGGTCGCCCGAGACAAAACTGGCTGCATTACGCCAAAAAACGTACTTTTGAGCATATCTTAGGTGGTTACGATTACACAGAAACTGTTGCTGAAGACTCACGAATTTATGATGCAGCCTTCACTCGAACTTTCTGATATGTAAATATGCCACGGCTTCTTTTGGCTACGCCAACGCCCTGCAATATATGACTGAAGTCAGTGCGGGGTACGGCTGGGAAAAAAATCATGTTATATCATTTTATCAACAATTATCCGAATAGTGATTCTTCAACATTCTTAGCGCTTGCAAACGTTCATTAACATTCCATCAGACTAACAACTAAAGACTTCAGAAGGTGATGTCGCTGTGCCATGCGGTTTGGCGAGGCCTAGGTAAAAAAGCGCGTTTGTGTGGCTCCGTGCCATGGGGTGAAGGTGCGCATGCGTGTGATTCAATGCGGCAATTGCCGTTGCTGAAGGCACGATTGATGGCGAGTCGTGCGTCGGTGCGTGCCCAGTTATTAATATATACACCAAGATCACCTTCAAGGTCCGACGTGAGTGTTTCCAAATGTACAAAATGTACACGGGTTTAGCCAGTGCTGCCATTGATGTAAAATAGGGAGAACTTGGAGGATTGCAGGCGAAGCACCTAACTTGGGGCCACTGAGGCTCTTCACTTGTACAATATTCCGTTCTTTGACCCAAACAAATTCACCCGCAATAGTTCGAGGTCTTTGTAGGTTGAGGCTGCAGCCTGAAGGTGAACAGGTTGCAGAGCAGGTCAACAACTCAGAAGATTGCCAGCGTTGGCTTTCGCGAAAACATTTGTTGAACACTTTGCACGAGGTCCCTGACCTGAGAAACGTACATTGCACCAAATCACATGTTGTTTTGGTTGTTTGGGCAACTTGCTCCATGAAATCCATGGCGTAGGTCGTTTTGTGGCTTCTTCTGAACGATGTGCAGGGACAAAAGGATGTGCATGGGTTTCAAAGTCCAGGGGTCCATAAATCAACCCCAAACTCACTAATCAGCTTGGTGGCCAGAACAAACACCAAAGTTTTGCCCGCTCACACACCACGGATACACCCCAAATCACCCGGCAAGGGCATCCCAAGACTGATTTGTTGGGGAGAAGCTGTCGGTGGCTCCTCAAAACCAAGAGGATGGTTGACATGGGGAGGTTCATCGAAATGGCACTTCGATGCATTTCGTGGTATGAGGGAACTGGAAAAGGTTGAAGATCCGCCAAGCAATCAGTGGCTGCGCGGATGGGGTCAGAAGTTGCAGACAAGCACATGTGCACCTATTTGTCCAATCTGCTATCCAATGAACCTCCCAATTGCCAAATGAATGAACCAACAATGAGCAAGCTTGAGCAACAAATGGGGGTGAAGAACATTGCTAGTCAGTGGGATGAGGGAATGGGTAAACTACAAGATAGATACAGATATGAATACATATATCAAAGGACTTAAACACAGGAACAAAAAACATCAGAAGGCAAAAGGACCAAAGCAATGCCGCCTGTGTTCCAGTTGGGGCAAGTGAACAGTATTTGAGGAGTGTGTTTGAAACTTGTGCTGTGGACATTGCTCACAACCCACCCTAGAAACTTTGAGCAAGCAGGCAGCCTTTCACTCCAGCTTGCATGTCAATAACCTGTGGGAGTAGTAACAAGAGGAAGCTAGTAGTAACAAGTGCATCGCTAGTAGTAACAAGTGCCTTACTAGTAGTAACAATAAGAATTCAATTAGAATTGTAATTACTAGCAAAGGAATCTACTAGGACCTTTCTGCAAGACGGGAAGACCCACAGATTCCACTGCTCGTTTGTCATGATCCCAAACGTGCCAACCACGCCGTGCCAAACGAGCAGTCAGTCACCCCATGCCAAGGTCTGCCATTTCGCACAAGTGCTCCCCGTGGGTCAGAGTGTCACTGCTCAGACCTCGAGCGATGGCTCACGGAGCAGGGCCTTTGCCAGTGGAAGGAATGTAGAACTTGGAAGGGAGGACAAAGGGTAGTTGTTTTATCTTGCAACGCGTGTTGTTTGGACGCCACTCACCCCCCTACCTGGGTGGATCCATAGGTATGAGCAGCACCACATCTGAAACAGAGCAGCGGTACACGAGCTAGACCCATGAGAACAAGAGAACACACAGCATGAATGATGAAGATGCCTTGGAGACTGGATCTAATCGGTCGAAACATGTGGAAGCCTTTAGCTTGTCCATTGTCAAAGGAGCAACAATTGGTTGCATGTTCAAGATACCATGGACCTCACTGCCTCCACTGATGCCCAGTTGGGAAACGGAACGCCACCTGTCTCCGTGCGGCCTTTTGTGAAGCTTGGGACCCACCGGTCCACTGCGTTTCTTTCAGCTTTGCAAAATGCAACAAGTGGCCGCAAGAGAAGGCAACCGCAGTCTTCAACGTACCCGACAAAGGAAGATACACCTTGTAGGGGTCTTCGAAGGTACTTTGCGACTTCAGATCCATGACTGCTCTCTCTCTCGCTCTCTATATATACATATAATCCTTTGAAAAGCTGCCCATGACTTCATTGCTTGTTTCGACTGTGGCCGACTGTTTTCTGCAGCCAGAGGCCCTGGCCTGCACCAACTTGTGCGGCCAAAGTCAGGTGCGAAAGACCTTGTGGTCCATGCTCAGTGCGTCCATGGGCATACCGAGCCGGAAACGGGCGCCAGCACCGCACCGTTGAAGAGGTGAAATGATGTTCGAAGAACTTAATAACCAAACAGTGGTGACATCACGTTCTTACGGTGAGTGCTCTCATACGTGTGTCTTTGTGTGTGCAATAATGTACTGTAATTTGTTTGTACGTTTGTAATGTATCCCTGCAATACGTAGTGTGGTGTAATGAAGTGCAACCCACTGTACACAATCATATCAAGCAAAGTAATGTTTGTAGTGTATGCAATGTACTGTAATGTAACGTAATGCATGACGTGGCATGTATGTTGTTTCAAGTGTTTTGCATGAGGTTCATGTATGTACCTGACTTGGCCTGGTACGGTGTGGGTTGGTTTTGTAATCATGTAATGTATGTACTGATGTCATGTGATGTGCTGTATGGTTGCGTGCATGTATGATCATGTATGTAATTAAGTATGTGTGTATGTTTGTATGGTTTTCTTGTATGTGTTTGTGTAGGTTTTATGTATATAGGTTATGTATGTTTTGGTTTTGTTTATGTATGCTATGTATGTTTTGCTTGCATGCATGCAATGTAGCTAATTTGTGTAATGGTTGGTACTCGTATGGTACGATAGGTATGTAGGTATGTATGTATGCATTTATGTATGTATGCATGTATGTAACTGTACACAATGTTTATGACGTAATGTATGCAATGCATTGTTTAGCATGCCGGTATGTAATGAATGCATTTTTTTGTCTTGTGCTGTTTTGTGATGTATGTTTTGTTTTTTTGTTTTTTTTAATGCTG